GTCCTCCTCCTCCTTCCCTGAGTCCACCGCCTGTCCCGTCTCAGTCGCAGTTACAGCCGGCCTCTCCGCTGCCTGGTCCTTCTCCTTACTCTGGTCCGACTAGAGGTCTTACGGAGCGTCGTGAGCCTGAGTCGCGTCCTGTGTCACCTGTGTCTCGCTCTGCGTCGCCTGTCCGTACTGTTCGCGCTGGTCGTGTTTCGCGTCCGCGTTCTCCTCCTGTCCCAGGCACTCACTCTATGACTCTGCATCCTTCTACTGCTCCATTGCGTGTCCCTCTGCCGTCTCCTCCTGCGTCCTCTCTTCCTGACGGTCCGGACCCGGAGTCTGACTCCCTTCGTGCTGCTAGTCCTACTGTCACGCGCTTTCTGGCCACTGCTGTCACTGACCCCCTGTTTGAGTTCTCTGCTGCGTCTGCTCTTGTTGCTGAGCTTGTTGACTTTGCTGCAGCCTGTCCCCTAGACTACGCCGCTAGTCTTGTTGCTGAGTCTGCGTCTGTGTCTGACTGTCCTCCGTCCGTCGGGGGTGCGTGTGCTCTTGGCACGGACGTCCTTGAGGACAGGCAGGAGGACCTTGAGTGCTTTGCTGCTGCTTCACCTCATCTCGTGTCCATGCTGCTTGCCCCTGAGGGAGACCCGGATGCACTAGACATCCCGGCCCCGTGCTCTTACGCAGAGGCGATAGAGGGTCCCTACTCCTCCCAGTGGCACGCAGCCATGGATGCAGAGATGGCTTCCTGGAAGTCCACAGGCACCTACGTAGACGAGGTTCCCTCACCTGGGGCGAACATCGTCAGTGGCATGTGGATCTCCAGGGTGAAGCGGCCGCCGGGTTCTCCGCCTGCCTTCAAGGCGCGTTACGTTGCACGTGGCTTCAGTCAGCGATAGGGAGTTGACTTCTTTCAGACCTTCTCCCCTACCCCAAAGATAACCACTCCTCGGGTACTGCTGCACGTTGCTGCTCAGCGTGACTACGAGCTCCACTCGCTTGACTTCAGCACAGCCTTCCTACAGGGCAGCCTGCAGGAGAAGATCTGGCTGCGCCGCCCACCTGGCTTCACTGGGTCGTTTCCTGCTGGTACCCAGTGGAGCCTCCGGCGGCCAGTCTACGGTCTCTGCCAGGCGCCCCGTGAGTGGCACGATACGCTCAGGACGACTCTTGCTGCTCTTGGTTTTGCTCCTTCCACTGCTGACCCTTCTCTGTTTCTACGCACTGACGCTACTCTGCTGCCGTTCTACGTTCTTGTGTACGTAGACAACCTTGTCTTTGCTACTGCTGACACGGAGGCACTCGCCCACGTGAAGTCCGAGCTGCAGAAGAGACACACGTGCACAGACCTGGGTGAGCTCACAAGCTATCTTGGCTTGCGGATCACCCGGGACAGAGCACAGCGCACCATTACCTTGACTCAGTCACACATGGTGCAGCAGGTCCTTCAGCGCTTCGGCTTCACCTACTCCTCGCCATAGTCCACTCCTCTGCCTACCGGTCACTCGCTCTCAGCTCCACCTTCGGACGAGTCCGTAGAGCCGAGTGGCCCGTATCCAGAGCTTGTGGGCTGCCTCATGTACCTGATGACTTGCACACGACCTGACCTCGCATACCCTCTCAGCCTTCTGGCTCGCTACGTGGCTCCCGGCAGGCACCGAAAGGTGCACTGGGATGCTGCGAAGAGGGTGTTGCGATACTTGTGCAGTACATCAGGCATGGGGCTCGTGCTTGGAGGACGGGCTCGAGTTGTCCTCACTGGTCACGCTGACGCCTCCTGGGTTGACGACTTGGCTACGCAGCGGTCGTCACAGGGTTACACCTTCAGCCTTGGCTCCGGTTCTGTCTCCTGGCGGTCTACCCGCTCTTCTTCTGTTCTCAGCTCCAGTTGTGAGGTTGAGATCTACGCTGGGGCCATGGCTGCACAGGAGCTTCGCTGGCTCACCTACCTGTTGACCGACTTGGGAGAGGCGCCTCGTTCTCCTCCAGTTCTGTACGTCGACAACAAGGCCATGCTGGCCTTGTGTCAGGAGCACAGACTGGAGCACAGAACGAAGCACATTGCTCTGCGCTACTTCCTTGCTCGAGAGTTGCAGCAGCGTGGCCAGCTTCGTCTTGCTTACGTGGCCTCTCAGGCCAACACTGCTGATGTCTTCACCAAGGCACTTCAGCCTTGTGATCATCAGCGTTTCTGTACTGTGTTAGGCCTTGTACCTACTGTGCCTCATTTGTTGACTTCTTGACTCTGCTTGTACTGTACTCTATATACTTATACCTGCATGCTTACACTTGCTAGGTTGTGTTGACTGTATTGTTTGCTTTCCTTTATATAACTCTGCATGTGAACTGGCCTTCTGGCCCTTTGCTTGTGCTCAGACTGTGTGGTGACTTTGTGATCCACCCTGAGTTTGCTTTGTCTTTCTTGACTGGTCTTGTGACCCCTTGTTCTCCCCCACTTTGCCTATGGGGGTGTGTCAAACATATATTTACTATAGCCGGTCTAGGCTGTAGTGGGGTAGTCCTTAGAGGGTACAACACTTATGTGTTTCCTACTTGTACCCTTCTCATTTCCTAATTCAATCATTTCTTTCGTCTATCATTCTCACAACTACTTGATGGTTCACGGGGGAATTTGGCAAGAGTTTCATTAGCAAAAGTTCACAACAATGATAGCAACAACATTGGCATGCAAGACTACATCTAAGCTAGCAAGACTCTGGTCGACCTCCAGGGCAGCACGGTCGACCGCGTGCTTGCTCGACTTGGTCGACCGTGCTCCAGTAGAGCAAAGTCGCGGCTTGCCAACGTTGCAATTCCACGGTGTGCCAACGCAGCAGCAAGTCGGCTGCACAGCGTTGCACCCGCAGAACAATGGTGCACATGCTTCGCAGGTGCGTGCAGCTGGTTGGTGCTCCACGCCTTGTCACGAGCACAGCACAGACGCCTAACAGACTCCACGCCAGCGACTGCGCCCACCAGCCACGTCGACCTCGGGATACCACTTCCGAGGTCGGCCTCGCCACTACACATGGGAGACTGACGCGTGCCTCCGCCGAGACCCGTTGCCCAAGTAACCTGGTCGACCAGGCAACCTCCTTGCCGACCAGCACCTCCGTCACGTGCCCGTCGACCACCCAGGTCGATGACCACCTCCAGTCGATCGCCGGCTGCACAAGCCCGGCGTCCCCAAGTTCGGCGCCCTCCAACCTGACGCCCTGCTACTTGACACCCAGCTGCTCGGCGTCTTGCTACTCGACGCCCTCCAGCTCGGTGACCTCGAACTCCCTTGTCCAAGTCGATGACGGCGTCCCTCTTTCGTCGACCACCAGGTCGACCACCCCAAACTCGGCGCCCACAAGTCGGCGCCCTCTTGCAGTGGCCCCTGTGCAGGTCGACCAGCCCGCCCACTGCTGCAGGTTGCCTGCACTCCCCGTTACACCCGACTACGAGGTTGGCTCTGCCCAAGCGAGGACGGGGCCTAAGACAACTCCTGTTGACAGATACAAATGTCTAAATCGCTTTGTGACACCCGAAAACAACATAAACTGTAGTGTGTCCCAAATGCGAGTCGCGTTTCAGCGACCACTACTATATTTTTCATTGGTCAGCGTGAAATGCATACAATCTAGCCTCTACACGCATCCAGAAAACAGAGACATCACCCCGTACCAGCTGATGGGTGATGTGGCTTACCCGCTTCGCAGCTACTGCCTCACCCCCTTGAATGCGCCAACTGGCCGCCTCATGCTCCAATGGGAGCAGAATTCTAACTACTGCCAGTCCGCCACTCAGATGTCGGTGGAGCGAACCATCGGCACGATTGTGCGTTATGGCGCGTCCTTGCCAAGGCGAGTTGCGTGGTAATCCTGCACAACATGGGCATTGAGATGGTCGAGGCACGGATGAAGAATCCGAACCACAAATGGGCCACAATCTCATTATACCAAGACCCTTGGTGGATCAGGGGCGAAATTGCGACATACAACTGGAACGAGGATCTTGCAGTGACAAAGGAGGACCTTGTCACCGCATATGCACTTTATGCATATGCAATAACAGTAGTAAAGGGGTAAAGGGAGTAGTAAAGGGGATAACAGTATATGCATCTCAATTAGAATAATGGGTGGTGTAGAGTGTAGCAAGGTTACTGTTTGACTAGGTGTAAAAGGAGGGAACGGAATGGGAACGAGTGGGAATTCTGGGGGGGAAAGCATCGAAGGGCGAAATGTGTGACGAAGGGCGAAATGTGTCCCAACCCCGAGCCGCGCATTGGGAAATTAGCAGCACAGGGTTAGGCTAGGTAAGGTCACGCACGCTCCTGTACTCGTTGCTTGTTTCTTGTTATTCTCTCATATCAGTGGAAGTTAGCACTCTAAGCTCTTAGCACATAGTGGTACGCCACCAGGAGGGAACCAGTGGGGTGAGGGAGAGATCCCATTCATAACAAGAAACAAGACTAGGCGTATAGAATGGATAAGTATGAGCTGCGATGGGGAAGAGTCTTCACCCGTCGAGAGGAAGAAGGGCCGCGGCATGAGCGCTCGCAGGAGCGTGGGCGGTCCCTAGAGCGATCGCCCCGGAGGTCAGCCTTCTGTGCGGATAGGATTCCCGTCGTGCCGGGCCGACGAGAGGAAAATGTGGTGCGTGACGAAGCGAACGGTGAAAGGCTCGCCGCGTCGACGAGCGGCGCGCTGTGGCGGAGAAATACGTTTCATCTACGCGGAGAAGAGCACCGCCATCACCGCGACGACGGGGTGTTCCGCTCCCCAGAGGAGGGAGGGCGGCGACGTGAGGAGTGAGGTCGCTGGCGGAGGAGAGAAGAGCTCCTGCGGGACCGAGGAGAAAGCTGTGGCATCAGCAGAGCTGAGGAAGATCTTCGAGCCGAGCGGACGCGGGAGGAAAATGATGAAGACGAAGCGAGGGACGAGGAGGACGAGCAGGAGTACGGCGACGAGCAGACGAGCGCGGACCATCACATCCCGAACGGGGCCGAGGAAGAGGAGCTCGTGCCAACCATGGAAACCGCCGACTCCGCTGCGGCAGCAGAAGAGGAGGAGAAGGAGGCGCGTGCGGAAGAGACACGCGCTGCAGGTCTCAACTGCCCGGGGGGGCATCACTCACGCGACGCGCTGCAGCAGGAAAGCCAGAATCGAGAGGAAGAGGCGCGCACGGTGCAGCCGCGGGGATTGCGCGGAGGAGAAGTCGAGCACGTACGCATGACAGTAAGCCAGCGACGGCAGACGGGGCAGCGAGATGGAGGCTCGCACTCACCAAGGGAACCACCGCCGAGAACATAGCGATACAATGGCGGGGGAGAGACGCGGGGAGGAAGACAGGAGAACGAGGTGCGCTTGGCTGCGCGACAGCAGGCACCTAGGGGAGGACAAGGCACGGAGTATCACTCATCTGAGCTGCAGTGGCAGCAGGAAGGGCGACGGAGGGGAGGATCACGCTCGCCGCGCCAACAACGGCAGTGGGAAGAGAGGCCCAGTGGCGATTTGCGGTCACCCGAATGACGCCGCAGGCAAGAAGGAAGACAGGACGAGGCGAGATACTCATCACGCCTTCGGCAACAGAGAAGGGGAAGGGAGGAGTGGTCACCATCCACGGCGAGGCGTCAACCATATGAGTACTGCCCAGGGGAATGGGAGAGGAGTCACCACTCGCCGGCTCGGCGATGGGAGCGGGCGGGAAGGGAGGACAGTAAGTAGAGACAGTCAGAGGAGGCGCGCGGGGATCAGCAGGAGAGCAGGGCCAGGAGCGGCAGCCTGGCGTACGGAGCTGAGCGTGCACGAGTAGCTAGAGAGGGCCTGGAACGAGCCAGGCAAGGAGGGAGGTATGGGAGACCGCTAGGAGGGGTAAGTGAGGCGTGGGGAGAGGGAAGAGGGGGCACGGCTACGGCGACAAGAGTGGAGGTGCCGGCCAGATTCTCGGGCGATCAGCGGTCAGGGCCGTCACTCAAGAACTAATTGATGCAAGTAGGGAATGTAAAGTACCGGTGTGACCGGAACGGCATGGACCCCATAGACTTCTTCCTGAGCCTGCCAAACACCTTTGACGGGGAAGCTGAAACCTTGTACCGTATGAGGATAGAGGAGCTGCTGTGGAGGGCAGGGAAGTATGGGGAAGACCCCACTGAAGCATTCTTGAAGCGGTTGCAGCGGCAGTTTCCGGGGCACACGGCGGAACGGATAAGGGAGTTTCAGGAGTTCAAGAGGGGAAGGGCAGAGTCACTGCTGGCATATTACAATCGGCTGATCAACCTAGCAGAGGACGTGAGATGCACGGATAGAAGCCTCGTGATGAGTAAGTTCCTGGGGAGCTTGGATGAGGCACTGGGAGGCGGGTTGCAGATGAGGGTGTATGAGCTGGGCGTGGAGGCGAGCCTGGATGAGATGTTTTAGTTGGCAGAGAGGGTGGAGCTTACGCAGAGAAAATATGAGGCGTACCTACCGAGACAGATGGAGAGAACCCGCAGGCCGACCTGGGCGGCAGTGATGATACCAGAGGACCGAGGAAAGGCAGAGGAGCGAGGACAGGTAAGGGCGGAGACCAGGATATGCCACAGGTGCGGACAGCCAGGGCACCTCCGCAGAGATTGCAAGAACTGTGATGGTTGTGGGAAGCCGGGCCACCGCAGGCGAGAGTGTCCCGATGTCGCCAAGTGTGAGATATGCAAGAAGAAGGGACACGAGGCCAAGGACTGCTATCAAAGGGAAGGAGGAGCCAGGAGAAGCCCGGAGGAGTTGCAGCGGCAGATCAGCAGGCTGCAGGCGCAGTTGCAAGCAACGGGATCGAGATGGGGGGCCGAGGCAGGGATGTATGCTAGAGACGAGGAGGGAGAGGAGGTGGAGCAGGACGTGCAGTGCGCACTCATGGCATGGAGGGGAAGGGAGGAGATGGGGCTGAGGAGCGGAGGGAAGGACGGCAGGCAGGAGCTGAGCAGGAAGGTTCGGGAGAAGGGGCAGAAACCAGAGGACCCAGTGTTGGTACCGCCGCCGGCACGCCATCCACATGAGAGGTTAGCGTGTCAGACCTCAGTGCTGCTGCTAGAAGGGGGAAGCGATGGAAGTGGAAGGGGAGAAGGTGAAGATCGCCATCATAGACACAGGAGCACAGAGTGTGATGCTGGGCAAGGGGATGGCTGAGAGGCTGGGGCTCTTGGCTCCAGAAAGGCATGTGAAAAGGGGGATGTTGGTGATGATGGCGGAAGGAGGGGAGCCAAAATGGATGCCCTGCACCCGGGCACCCATAGAGGTGACACTGCTGCCAGGAGGGAAACACGAAACCAAAATCAGAATGAAGTGTGGCATCTCTGAGTCCGAGGATTTTGACGTGCTAGTGGGCACAGAGCTAGTGTTTGCGGTGGGCATGGCCATCTGCACATGGACTGAAAAGATAGAGTTCCGGACGCGGTACTGGAAGAAGGAGGGGCCAGTGGGAGAGCTGCCAGTACGATTCGTGAAGGTGGAGCCCAAGAGGGCGTACCAGGCCATGGCTGGACAGGAGACGGAGGCAGGAGAGGCGGGGGAGCAGAGGGGAGCGAGTGGGATCAAGGAAGGGCCCAGTATGAGGAGGATGGACGAGCCAAGGTGGCAGAGCGACTGGCAGCAGCCCATCCGCTTGGTGGAGCTGTTTGGAGGGATTGGGGCGGGATTAGCAGCAGTGGTGAGAAGTGGGATTGCAGTGCAGAAGTGGGTATACGTGGAACAGGCGCCAGTGGTGAGGAAGATGGCTGAGCATCACGCTTGGAAGCTGCAAGCGGAATTCTCAGAGCTCCTGAGTGCGGGGGTGATCCGTGAAGCCATGAAGGGAAACAGCCATGATGTGGCACAGATAACAGAGGCAGAGGTGGCCAGCTGGGGGCAGGTGGATCTATTGGTGGCAGGATGGGAGTGCCAAGGGGTGTCATGGGCGGGCAAAGGGAGAGGAAAGGGGGACCCAAGGACGCAGCTGATGGAAGACCTGTTCCGCATCATGGAGTGGCTGCAAGAGAGGCAGGGCAGAGTGACCTACCTGGTGGAAAATCTGGATTTGGAAGGGGACAGCAGGGAGCCAATACAGCCGGTGAGGGAGAGGATCAAGGAGCAGTTGGGAGAAGGGGTGAGCAGTGATGCGGCCAGAATGGGGTCACTCGCACACCGATTGAGAATGTATTGGCAGAGCATTGTCCCCGAGGAGATAGACGGGGTGAGAAGGCCGCCAGGAAGGAAAGTGCAAGATATCCGTGAGCCAGGACGGACCCCAGTGCCGGTATGCAGGAAGGGGTATAGTAGACATTACCCCTGCAATCTGGTGGGACAGGACCGGCGGGCGTTGCCCACTCTGGTTACCTATGCAAGAGCAGCAGGATATGTGTGGGTAGCAGGGGAACCAGGCCCAGGATTGATCCACGATCACAAGAAGCAGCGATGGGAGGAACCGACCGCGCTGGAACGGGAGCTGGCCCTGGGGTACGGGGAGAATGCAACGGCAGCTCCAATGAAAGGTAGCAAGCAGCATGGTGGGGTAGCCGTCAGGGGTAGCCGTCAGGTGGAGCAGCTCCTAAGAAAGGTAGCAAGCAGCATGGTGGGGTAGCACATACAAGCTCCAATGTTATTTGTGTAGGCTATAGTGGGGTAGCCCATAAGGGGTACAACCCAATTAGGGTTAGTACTTGTACCCAACTCTTTCATAGTTCATTCATTCTCGTTCGTTAGTTTGACATGGTATCACAGTAGGTCCTTCGTTAGGAATGATTTTCTTGGGCCCACCATAGCGCTGCCCCACTAGCCGCCCTGCTGCCCCTAGCGACCCTCGTGCCGCTCCTGCTGCTCCGCGCGCCGCCCTCGTGCGGCCTGTCAGCCGATCCTAGGCCCCGCGCGCCCTGTCGACCCTGGGCCCCTGCCCGCCCCGTCGACCCTAGGCCCGCGCGCCCCGTCGACCCTAGGCCCGCGCGCCCCGTCGACCCTAGGCCCCTGCCCGCCCCGTCGACCCTAGGCCCGCGCGCCCCGTCGACCCTAGGCCCCGGCCCGCCCCGTCGACCCTAGGCCCCAGCGCCACGTCGACCCTAAGCCCCGGCGCCCCATCGACCCTAGGCCCGGCGCCCCGCCGTCGACAATAGGCCCAGGCCCACCACGTCGACCCCAGGCCCGCGCGCGCCCCGTCGACCCTCGGCCCCGGCCCGCCCCGTCGACCCTAGGCCTGCGCGCCCCGTCGACCCTAGGCCCCGGCCCGCTCAGTCGACCCTAGGCCCCGGCGCCCCCCCGTCGACCCTAGGCCCCGGCCCGCCCCGTTGCCCCTAGGCCCCGGCGCGCCCTGTCGACCCTAGGCCCAGGCCCGCCCGTCGACCCTAGCCCGGCCCGCCCGTCGACTTCAGGCCCCGGCCCGCCCGTCGACTTCAGGCCCCGGCCCGCCCGTTGCCCCTAGGCCCCGGCCCATCCGTCGACCCTAGGACCGGCCCGCCCTTTGCCCCTAGGCCCCGGCCCGCCCATCAACCCCAGGCCTCGCGCGTTGCCCATTGCGGCCCGCCCCTCGCCCCTGCAGCCCACGAGCTGCCCTTGCAGCCCCGCGCGCCGCCCCTGGTGGCCCTCTAGCCGCCCCTGCTGCTCTGCTAGCCGCCCCTTGCGGCCCTCTCGCCGCCCCTAGGCCCGCCCGCCGCCCCTAGGCCCTTGAGCCACCCCTCTTGCAGCCTGCGCACCGCCTCTTGCAGCCTGCTTGCCGCCCCTTGCTGCTGCCTGCCCTATTTCCTGTGCTGCCCGGCCTCTGCCCGCCCTGCGTGCTGCGCCGCAATGGTTTCTCTCCGCGTGCTCGCGTTTGATCATGAGGGCCGCCCTATTCAGTTTGACACGTGGCTCGACGACCTGCAGCTGTACCTACTAAGCGACTCTAGGGACAGCGTTTCGTTGTTTGACCACACCTCTGGCGCCGCTCCTGCCCCTTCCGCCACAGCTGACAGTGCAAATCCCTCACAGTGGCTTACTCGTGACGCTGCTGCTCACTTAGCCATTCGCAACCACCTGCCGTTAGCTGAATGCGCTCACTTCGGACAGCACAGGACCGCACAGGCACTGTACGACGCTGTAGTCGCTCGTTACTCCTCGCCTGCCACTGCTGCTCTAGGCCGTCTTCTACTGCCCTACCTGTTTCCCGAGCTGTCAGCCTTTGCCACGGTAGAGGACCTGGTTTCCCACCTTCGCACTAGCGACGCTCGCTACCGTCGAGAACCTGCTGCCCCACCTGACATCCTTGACAAGAACCAGCCCCCGATGTTCATCACTCTCTACTTTATAGTCACCCGCCTCCCTGACTCTCTTCGCTCTATCAGGGACCACTTTCTCTCCCTTGACCCCACAGTCCTCACTGTTGACCTACTCAAGAAGCAACTCCTTGCAGCTGAGACTAGTGTAGTCGCTGTAGGTGCTGCTCGTGGCACTCCTCGCACGCCCTTCTTTGAGGGGTGCCCCCCCTCCCCCCTTGCCCCCTCTTACGCCTCTGCTGCTGCTGTTGACGTCCTTGGTGCTGAGGACGTCGGGGCTGCTTCTGCTAGTGCGAAGCGCCGCAGCAGCAAGGGGAAGGGTGGCAGGGGTGGTAGCGGTGGCAGCAGGGGTGGTGGTGGGGGCAGCAGTGGAGGTGGTGGAGGCAGTGGAGGTGGTGGCGGTAGTGGGAGTGGAGGAGGGAGTGGGGGCTTTGGTGGAGTCGGTGGTGGCAGCGGTGGGGGTGGCGGTAGTGGCGGCAGTGGGAGTGGTGGCGGTAGGGCTGGAGCTACTGAGCGTGGAGGTTTGGGAGGTGGCCAGAGGCAGCAGCAGCAGTGTCAGAGC